TGGAAGAAACATGAAGAAATATCAACACATGAGCCATCGTTTCATTTTCTGATATCGAACTTTTCATTGCATTTATTTATCACCCGAATCGATTTAAAAATGATGTCAACACATTTTCAAAGTGTCGCCTTCTCTCTGACACTACGCTCTCTCGCACTCACCCAACTGTACTTACAGTTCGAGTTGAATGCTTTTCTGTAAACTATTCCGAGAAAATTGATCCGGAAAATATTTGATATCATTGTGAGAGCGTGGGATGAAAGAGAGAATATGACATAGAATTTACTGTGTATGTACAGACTTTCAATTTTATATTTGTTTTCATATTTATCTATTTCGATTTGATTTCGGACGATGATTTTAATCGGGCTGTGAAAATGGAAACCGAATGGCCTGATCGAAGTGATGGAAAAGTCGGACAAAGACAAGCCATTGCAAAGTGGGAAAGAAGTAAGTGTTAAGTCGAAGTGAAAAGGCGGAGACGTTTCTTTGATATGTTTGACTTTTATATTTGCAACCAAGAGAACCATATTTTCTACATTTTCCCCCGCTATTAACCGAGCTTTATTTGAAGCAATTTAATAAATATTTTGATGTTTGTCTGAGGTTTCTCTATAAATTCCCCAGTCATTTGTTTGTGAAAAAAAACTTTTCCATTCAAATGTTCGGACGCGGTGATTTATTGTCGAAATTTTCGAAAACTTCTCGAAATCTCAGTATTCAAGGCGTCAAATTGGATTTGTCTACGTGCAGATGGGACATTTTTAAAAGTTGTTTACAAATCCAAGCACAGTAGAAAATTCCACATAGATTTTGATCTATTCAAATTGCTTTTTGAGAAACTTGTTAAAAAGTTTTGTGATTGTTGTGCAAACCGTCAAGTTAGCAAAGCGCACCAAAAATTATCGGTTATCGTATTTTCAGTTAGGGTCTGCAATGCTGTTGAAATGTATGTATAAAAACAGACCCATTCGCGTATTGTCCAGCAAATGCAATAAATAAAATGTGAAACCGGAAGCATTGTATGCTTCTCGAAAAATTCGTCACGCACAAAGTAAAATGAATGAATGTTCGCTTGTTTGGTTCCATTAAATAACACAGTGGTACTTTCTGCACAATGGAACTCATTTACAGTAAAATGTTATTAGAACGATGGCTACGTGCCCGGTAGTAGTGGCAATTGTTGACATATCGCTCATAAAATATTGTATAAACAATAATTTATAACCATCAAAATTACGAGGATGAATGCGTAGTGGCAGTGCCTTGAGAGAGCGTAAAGTGTCATTTCATCAAATTGGCTTGCCGTAGGCAGAACCACACATACTATGTGTCAACAAATTTGGCCGCTTGACCTGGTCCATTTGTGATATTGTTTGCATTTCCGATCATTTGCCATCTATACATTTATATATATTTACTTTTTGCTGACACATTTTCAATGTTGATTCGGGGATATTTTGTCCATTTATATCGCTGATGCCCGATCAACGATTTTGACGATAAGTCAATGGCCACATTTGAAAAGCATTCTTGACTTTTGAGAAAAACGTTTTGACAGCAAAATGTCCAAGCGTCCGAATCGAGTAGATGAGCATGAGTTGTTTTCATAATCAATTTTCAATTGATGTGCTTCATCATTCGCAAAAGCGACGTTTTTGAACACATTTCTGGTGGAAAAGTAATACATTCGGTTTCTGTTTGTATAGCAGATTGGTGCCAACAAGCAATTACGATGCAAGCAGATGCGACCCAATCTATCGATTTAACGAACTTCTCCATCCCCCCACCCAATCTATCCCGCTGACCCTTTTTTTCTCGTGCCCACAGAATGGGCACACAGGCATGGCGTGTGTCCGAGAACGATACCATTTGTCAATTTATGTTGACAAAGCGGATTTACAGCTATTCGATGTGTTTTTTTTCTTCGTCTCTTTCCTTTCGCACTCTTAGCTTGTGGCAGCTGCACATTTTTTTCCACTTCATCTGCCGCTCGTATTTACAAAGAGTGAAAGCGATTTCATTAAATTAAAATTTAGTGGAAGCAGAAAGCAAAACTGCATGCAATTTTTTTCGTTTATTTCTTTGACGATGAGTAAAGAAAAAAATAACAACGAAAACCCGAGTGGGCAAAGAGCTAAAGAAAATCTGTTTCGCTAATGAGAAGAAAGGGCCATTTATAATGCTTGCCCTTGTTTTTGTTCTATTATCGTCTTAAGCACAGAATAAATTTAATGAATATTATCTTTTGCTCGGCGCACGAACGCCTTTTGTTTCCCACACATAATAGCCGCAGTCGATTATTTATCGGTTACGACACTTTCACGCAGATGCGCACCCAACAGAAAATGAAAGAAAAAAAAGAACGCCAACCACACCATTCATTATGAATGCATAAAATAAATTAAAATGCTGTACAGTTTTATTGTTTGAGTCGGGTGGTGTTTTTCTTCTTCTTCTTCTTTCATCCTTGCTGTGCTTTTGGTGTAATTATCTCGCGCTTGAATAAGAACAATTGAGAAAAGGAGAAAGAAAATAAATGGTACAGCTCAAGCATTGAAAAATAATGCAAGCAATAAAAAACAAGCGATATTGTTCATTGCAAAAGGAAAAAAATGAGTGAATATTGAATGCGATATTCTTGGTTCACCGAAACACAACAACAAACTTTACCCCATCGACAGAGTCTTTTATTTCTCTGTCTGTTCGCTTCTTTTATTTCGCATTCTTCAAAACTTTGCCATTGATTCCAGACAATGAAACATTCCAAATGCAGCAATGTTAATCGACACACTTGAAAACATAATAATTTCGAAATTCGAATCCATGAAAATGAAGTAATGTTTCAATTGTCCGTGTGGATCGCTTAAAATGCGATTCAGCAATGCAGTGCCAATTGCGTAAATTGAGTTTTAAATCTAATTGAAATATTCATCTCCATATTGAATGGGACAGCAAACGTATTTTCCGTTTCGTTTGTTTTGATGGTGGTAATTTGCTTTATTAGTTGCGTTTTTACTTTGCCCCGTATGTCTCGTCGATGCTTATACAATTTCCGACTTGTTTTGAGCGGCCTAAATGTAAACGCCGGTTTTTTTTACTTCTTCAATGACACCTGCAGATTTTGTGTTGTGCCCATTAAATTGTCCGTTTGGCCAGACAATGCTGACGTATCTATTGTTTAATGTGGACGCGCGTGTGAGTCTCGCTTTTTTTGTTTGGTCTTTTGTTGCACGAAACTAATCTGCATATGGTGGTTGGTCGTTGAGAGAACAGAGGGTGGCATCAATATTTATGATAACCGTTTTGGAAAAAATCAAATAACGCCTGCACACATTTCGCCAAATAATGGCTGTCGTTCAATTTACTTTTTGCCGCTTCAAAAATCACACACACAAAATCACATTTTTTCCATTTGAAATCGAAGAGTGCCTATCATAGCATTTTTTTGGCCATCAATTCATAACAACGACAACGTGTACCGCTACAATGATGATGATGCCAGCGTGAAATTTACATATTTTCCAAAACATTCACCATCAATGGTTAAAAAAAGCCATAGATTTCAAATTTCAACGGCAAAATAATAGAGGTTTATGGCCGATGCTTTCTAATCGATTTGGTTTTTCGCTCATACCAAACTCAAAATTGCAAGCGATACATAGCGAAAAATACACCGGCATGTTGAACACAAGTCATTTCATATGGTGCTTTGGACAAACGATTTGCACATGTGCAATGTATACATAAATTTAATTTAACATATGTTTCATCGTGATAGACAAAGATTTTTTTTCTCTCGCTATTGAAATTATGCTTTTATTTATCCCTCCCATCGAAAGCCAATTTCATGAAGTTCTGACGCTGCGATGCATCTATGAACGTGAAATATACAAATATTGTCAGACTTATTTGACATTATTTCTGAAGTTTTCGTTTCATATTTTCGTCTTTATAATGCTTCTTCTGTCATCCGCAAACTTTAAGTCGAGTCTTGCAACCAAATGTACATCGCAACACAACGAAAATATGTAAAACCATCCAAGACTTTGAAACAGAGAATAAAAAAATTCTTTCCAGGAAAATGAAATGAATTGTGTCATTTGAATTGGTTGGGCTTGTGCTGTGCATTTCTACAATGAGCCACTGAAGTTGTTATGAGTTTGTTCAACAATATTCGAAATGTGTATTTAAAGTTTTACACTGCAATAATAATAATGTGTTGTAGTGTTGTCGTTTTGCATTTCATTTGTTTGGTCGGGCGTGCCCGCCACTCGTCTCTCTCGTTGTTATTTCAAGCAAACAATAGAGAAAATTGTAATCACCCAAACAAAATTAATAAAAGTTTAACAACCGAACGTGAAAAGTGTGCAAAGAGTTAAGTTGAAATAAAATGCATCGCACTCACTCACTCATTCAGTCACACACTCATGTTATTACATAAAAACAAATGAGCATGTATGGCATTTGAATGGTACTTCATTCCAACAATTTTCAACGCAACTTTTACTCGAAATGCATCATCATCATTATTTCTGTTCTAATGAATTCAAACAGATTTTTCACTCTTTCTTCACTGCACAAAGTGGAATAGGAGTAAGTAAGAAAGCAAGAGAGAGAGAGAGAAAGAGTTACAGGGACTATATTTCAGGACTGTATTCGAGTAAAGTAATAGTAGTTCTTGTTGCCGACTTCTGTTTGCAAATAAATACATGGAAGCAGTCATAAATTTCAAACGTTTGCAAAAGCACAAACAAAAAGAAAGTGTGACAAGCTCATTATAATACCGAAAAATAGCGTACTTCACATGAAAATTCACTTTATTATGGCATTTTTCCGGTTCGTCAACTATTTCTGGATTCGTTCATTTTAAAATTTATTCTATAGAATTTTAAGATGAATACAAATTATTTCGATGCACAGAATGTTCTTAATGTTTATTCAAAGATGCAACTATTTTTCATACGTTAAATGCTAATGACATACCTGAATTATTTAAATTTTTGATTTGACAAAGTGATTCATTTATTCAATGATTATAGTTTAAAGAGAAACAGAATTCATACATTTATCTAATTAAAAATGCACTTAAGATAAACGTTCGTGATAAATTGTATCTGGAATGAAGTTGTGCATTGAAAAATCAAATGCAGTTATTTCGTTTATTTCTTTTCAAAAAATGTACAGAACTCTGTTAAGTCATGTGGCATCTTCATTTTCGAGGCACTCAATACACGAGTATACACATACAATCTGTAGACTATCTCCGACAGCAATACCATTACCTTGTGTTGATCGAGGCTATCACCACTATTACTGTAACAATCAATATTTAGTCAAATCAAAAGTGTTGAAAAGTTTCCATGACAAATGATTAATACTTACATTGGTTTAACGTTCACACTAATTGAAGAAATATGAAATATTATTTATTCTAATTTTATGTTTAAATTGTTTAAATACTTACATATGCGTCGCGAGTGCCATTAGATTGGACGTGTCCGCAATTGCACCCCTAAAATGAAACATAGTTAACGATAAATTCATAATTTTACGTGGTAAATTTTGCCATAATTTACTTTTCATTAGCGGCCAACACTTCTTTCAAGTGCATTTCAAAACTGAAAGAGAAATCAACTCGGTTTCAGTATTTTGTGTTTGACATACTTATTACAATACTCACCTTTGTAATCGTCTTAGGCAAATTGATACCAACATAAAAGTGTGTTCATCATCAGAATAGCCTCTTTTGTATTCCACCCTCAACTGTTTCGTTATATCGTTGAAACACGTTGTTACTTGTTTCGGTCTGAAAAAAAAAATTGTCGAAATTTTTTAAAAATTCGCCAAAAAATGTTGAAAATTAATAAAATATTACACTCCAGTTGCCGTGAAGATTTTTTTTGCTTCTGTCAAGAGTCTGAATGGAATTTTTTTAATTAATCTTTTTCCTATGTATGTGTTAAATAATTATTTATCTTACTCAGTAACCAATTTTTCGTCGTTTTGTCTGAAATT